CCCCCCCTGTCGTTGCCCCTTCAGAGGGGCCTCTCGCAGAACAAAAGCCAGGAGAGGAAACACACAGACACAAGTAATCATCGTCGATTCCCAGGGAAAAAAAGGAAAAATATCCGAAGTGGGGGGAAGACAAAATCCCAGAAAATATGGGCAAGTATGGGGAATCCTGGGATTTGTGTATTTTTTGTGTGTCCCTGGAACGCTTCAAAAAGACTGCACATACATAAAACGTTGGAGGTCTGCGCGGACTTCTTGGACCGGCGCTGGGACCCCTGGGCGGCGCCTCCGGCGCGGCCCCCGGCGCGCTCTCCGCGCGCCAGGGCGGGGAGCCCAGCGCCGATCCGAGAAATTCGCGCGGACGTCCGCCATTTTTCCTCTGTGTCGTGCGTACCTTCGCTGACCTCGAGAGGCATCGCCAAAGACCCGGCGCATCGGAGAAAAGATTCGAGCCAGCCCCCGCTTCTCCACTTCTCTGTGAGGCTGGTTTCGGGCGCAGGGCCGTCCCAGGGGAGGAGTCGACCCAGGGAAGGTACGGGATGGAGAGTTTGGGATCTGGGATGGAACATCTGCCCCAGGGCAGGGAGGGGGGGATCTGGGATTATGATATTCCAGCCAAGTTTAAAGTCAGGCGTGCCCCTCTACAGGAGGAGTATTCAAAGATAGTGAAGAAATAGTCTGGGGACGATCTGTTTTAATGTTGTTTTGCTATTTTTTATTTTTCGCCCAGTGGCTCAAGGTAAACTGCGCCCCTGGTTAGGTCCAGGGGGTTAGGGCTCAAGCGATCTGTCTAAGCCGCGTGCGACCCATCAGACGGCCGCCCGGCCAGGGTAGCACAGCAGATCATTTACTTCCCCGCATTTTCTTCGTCTTTTTCTCCCTGCCATGCCGCCCTTCCCGACATGCCTCAGCCATGGTGTGCAGGGTGAGGCGGTTCCGGGCTCCCTCTTCTGCGCCGCGCATGGGGCGACTGGAGCGGCGGCGGCGACAGCCCGACTGGTGGCAGCCCCAGCCGCCGCGGCGGAGCGCCTGAACAGGGACGACGACGGGAGCACCGGCGCCACGCAGGGCGTAGCGGACCTGCAGATGACCGACGCCGCGCAGAGGTTGGCCGAGCTCGACGCCATTGAGGTCGATGAGGAGACCATCGAGAGGACCGCGGCTGCTGGGGGTGCCAGCATTACCAGCATGCCAAACGGTCCGGCTGCTGCTGTTGCCCCCCCGCCAGGTTTGGGTGACTCGGCCGGAGGGGCGCTGCAGGCTTCCTTGGGGCCGCACCCGTAGGACTTCACGCTATCGGTGCCGCTCTTCCAGGCTTGGCTTCAGCAGGAGGTTCTCGCACACTTAGCCCTGGTGACGGCTGCGTCGGCTCGCACGCCAGACTCGGCCAGCGCTGCGGTGGAGTACCCTAGGAACTGGGCTGCGTTGCAACTCGTGCTTACCAAGCTGGGCTACGCGACGGCCTCCTCTGACCCTTGGCAGGCCCTCGGATTCGCGCTCTACGACGGCCCTTCGGCACCGGCCTTGGCGGCCCGCGAGCGCACGGCGGCACAGCTGTGCGCACTTGGGCAGAAGGCGGGCTGGACACCGCAGGACAAGGACAGGGCAGAGGTAGCTGCACGGCACTTCCGGGAGGCGGCGGCCACCTGCACGTCGGAGCTCCCAGAGGTACCGCCTCCGAATCGGCACCCTTCCGCTCTGGAAGGAGCTCGGGCAGGATGCACTCGACCTTCTACGACCTGCGGGAGGTAATCTGGGCGTCTGGTTCCTCACGCAGTGGTCCACCCTGCTCACGCCCCCCAGCCGACCCCCTGGGACATCGAATCCACTCGCAGGTTAGCTACGCTCTTGGAGAAAGGCGACGAGAGAGTGTGGGAGCAGTTGGTGAACCAGCATGTGGTAGCTTGGTACCCGGAGGACGCTAATGCCGCGACGCGCTGCCGGGCAGCGCTGCTTCGTCGAGTGTCCACGGGAGCGCAACCGGCTTCGCTCCGGTTCGTGGCGCCGCTCCCGCTCTTCCCAGGCGCCCACGAGGTCCCGGCCATTCTGGACAATTGGTGGTGCCCTCTGGTGGGAGAGAAATGGGCGCCTCTGGTGCGCAAGGTGGAGTTCACGGACATGCCGCTGGAGATGGTTCTTCCCGCGCAGGCCTCCCCGAGGCATGCCAAGATGGGCCTCGCGCTCTTCACGATCGCCTTCACGGGCACGCGCGTCCCCCCCGCCATGCTCAGCTGCAAGCCGCCCTTGCTTCAGATCGACGGGATCTCTTCCGTGACCTTCGACATGCGCGCAGATGACATCATGCACTTTTCGACGCTGATGAATCAACCATTGATGCATGGCGCTATTTGGCGGAATCCACGGCGCAGCCCTGCGTGCACTGGGGAAGATCCCCGGGCCTGCATCTTCCCTAGGGGGTACGCGGAACTGGACCTGGGCCTGATCTTGCAGGCCTTGCGCCCGAGCCTTCCGTCGCCCACCGACTTCGGCTCCCAGTCGCTCT